GGTCCCATGCTGCACCTCCCAGGTACTCAGGTACCTACTTTTTCACATGGGAGATTGTAGACATCATGGGTGGTTCTCCGACCACCCATACCTCTAGCTGCACGCCCTTCACCCACCAGTATCAGCCAGCTGGTGTTGACCTGAGAATCCTCCTGTGTCTTGTATTTCCCAGCACTGCCATCTCTCTCCAGCTGCCCCTCTCCAGGGCAGGAAGTACAGCTCCAGGCTCCACCTCCGCCAATACAGACCGAGCACTGGCTCTGGAAGTGTAGCATGGTGCTCTGTTCCCTGGCAGTGTTCCTTCTCCTGCCTGGGGTAAGTAAAAGGGAAGGGTCACCCCTGGGTTTCCCTCCATTTCTGGGGTCTCTTCTTTCACATGGTCCAATCCTCCAATGTGTCTACACCTCTCTGAATCCTAGCCCTACCCTCCAGCATATCTACTACTCCCCCCAGCTTGGTGTTATTTGTGAACTTGCTGTGGGTGCTCTCCATTTCACCTTCCAGGTTGTTGACTAAAATGTTGAACAAAACCAGACCCAGGACTGACCGCTGGGGCACTCCATTTGATACCAGATGCCAACCAGACATTGAGCCATTGATTACTACCCTTTGAGCCTGACAATCCAGCCAGGTTTCTGTCCACCTTAAAGTCCATTCATGCAACCCAATACTTCCTTAGCTTGCGTGCATGAATGTTGTGGGGGACCATATCAAAAGCTTTGCTAAAGTCAAGGTATTTCACATCCACTGCTCTCCCCATATCCACAGAGCCAGTCATCTCATCATAGAAGGCAATCAGGTTGGTCAGTCATGACTTGCCCTTGGTGAATTCATGCTGACTGTTCCTAATCACCTTCTTCTCCTCCGAGTGCTTGCTTAAAAAAAGATTCCTTGAGGACCTGGTCCATGTTTTTTCCAGTAATTGAGGTGAAGCTGACTGCTCTGCAGTTCCCTGGATCCTCCGTCTTCTCTTTCTTAAAAATGGGCACTATATTTGCCCTGTTCCAATTGTCCAGGACCTCTCCCAACCACCAGGAATTTTCAAAGATTTTCAAAGTAGACCCAGCAGCTCTGTAGTCGCATCAGATTCCTACTATAACCATCTGAGATTCATTAAAGTACAGGCTCCTGCTATCGTGCCCTACTGTGAAATTCCTAGGCCTGGGGAACCTTTGAGTAGGGCTACTGACTTTCACTTCTGCCAGGAATCAGGACCCCCAATAGCTCACACTGTGAGACCGATCACTTTGTCTGGGTCTTGTCCTACCTGGTACATAACTACCAGAGCAATGTTTTTCTGGATGGCCAACACCTGAATTTAATGTGCATTCAAGTAAGTAGTTCTCTCTGAAGACAGCACAATTCAGAATCTAGCTCTATTGATGGAAAAGAAATCTGATGAATCTCTAAAGCTTATTTTCACTATTCAGCACAAATAATAGGTGTCATAGCAGTGCATTTAGCAATAACAGTTAAACTAACTATATGTTTATCTGTTTTCCCCAAGCACCTTCTTAGATGCTTATCCAATGCAGAGCACACAACACTCAATAAACAATCAGGTTTTCTGTAATCTTTCTTGCCACTTTTGCTAATGGTCCATGATGTCTGCAATAAACAAATGATTTCTTTTAAAGATCTTCAAACTTCCCATGGTCTCATGAGGTTCATTTTTTTTCATATCCCCAGCTAAGATACTTCATACGTTCCCAGATCTGTGAGTAGCTTAAGTTAAGTTTAACATAGTCTCTTCTCAGAAAATAAATATTAGATGTGGCAGGTGTCAGCAGGGGACAGATCTCTATGTTACATAAGATCTTTGATCAACACAGAAATCATGGTAGGAGAGAAACTGAAAAAAAATCCAGGAAGGTCTCAGTGGATTTGCTACTGAAGAGGACAAGTGGAGAAGAGGAAGAAACAGAATAAAATATATTTCTAATGCTCTGCATATCTCTAAGACTCAATACAAAGCCATTCGTAGGCTTTATAATTGCCCACACTTGAGATAGAAATGTGTCCCAGAATCCCATTTCATATGGAAGGCATCCCTGGTGAACGTGGCTCCATTGTTTATAGTTTTGATGTCAACTGGTTCTTTCTCAGATGAGCTACCTTCTTTCCCACTTTAGTACTACGTAGAATCTCTCTCAAGGATCTGAGGTAAAGAAAGGCCCCAATTTGTGTTCGTTTAGGGCAAGGAGTTGTAGCTCTGTTAGCAAAATTCAGGCTGATCCACCTGCAGTGACTTTAGGGAGATCTGTTTTGTTAAATACTTTGACTGAGTTCTGCTGTGCTTCAAGAACTTGTGTCACAGAAAGCATAGCCAGTGAGAAGTAGGGCAAAAGGAGGTTTTAAGCAGTCTTTGCACCCGCAGATGCTGGATGGTTAAATGGACTCCTCTAATTCAGAGAAATCTCCATAAAACTGACTGTGAATTGTTCTGCACACCACAGAAGCACAGAGCAGGGGAGCAATTTGTGACGAGGGGCAGTTTTGGGCTGCCAAGTGCTATATAGGAGAGAGAAGGGAGCAGAACTCATCCCTCTGTTTAAATTCTGGAAGACATTCAAGTATGATCATAAATGAGACCTCAAATTTGTATGAAGTTTGGAAGCTTTTTCTGTACTCTGTCCTTGATATCCTACAGGGTTTGCTGAACTGCATCTGGATAATGCTGAGTTTACCATTCAGAATTCCAGGTTCATTTGTACCAACATAATGCTGGTGTCAAAAGAATAGCAGATTACAAGTAATCCACAACAAGCACACTTTCACCACGTTCCCAGAGAGCAAGAACAGGTGACCTGCTCACCATCATGGAAGAAACGGGTGACAGTATGATATTCAACCTGCATTCCCCAGGTTCTAGACTTAGCACCTTTACCTCTGGACCATCCTTCCTTACTGGAGTGCCAGGTATGCAGTTTAGGCATTAGGCTAAAGCACTAACCCATGCACTTGTCCACAGAACAGTAGGTTCAACTCATTTATGAAACGTTATGTGTATATTTAAATAGTTGTAGGGCAGGCTCTCTGAGGAAGCAAAGGAAGGTGGGTGCTATGGCTGTTAAAAAGAAAAGGAAGACTTTTTTTTCCATTTTTTGCAGAGCTGCCAATTTCTATCATTGAGATTTTGACAATAAAACAGAATGCAACAAACCCAGGGTTTATGGCTACATTTCTTGCTAACAATTAACATCTTACTGAACCAATATAAGCAATGCACAGGCCCCCCACCCCTGGCAAATATTCTTCTTTTTGGTGTTTCATCTGTACTGAGATCACAGTGCTGATTCGGTGATAAAATTCTGCTGGGAAGAGACTGTCATGTCATAAAAATAAGATTGTGACACCTGATCAGAACAAAACAACAGTGGTTTGCAGAAAGGTGAGATAAAGGGTCCATAAAGAGAATAAGTTATCTCCACAGCTTTCTTTTAAATGACAGTACCTCCTCCATTACCAGTGGCCTTAGTAGCACTAGTATTATTAGTGGCAAAAACAGAGTACGGTATTGTGCAATTCATTTTATTGTACCACCCAAAAGTATTAGGCACTCTTAAGACACACAGGCAGAAGAGGTCCTGGCCCTGTAGAAACCACATTGTGAATAAATAAGAGAGACATGAAAGGTAGAAAAAAGTGATAGCCTATAATCAGAGTGATCACAGGAACAGGGTTTGGGTTGGAAGATTATCATTTATATGAAGTACCTTTAATCAGAGCTTCTTTAGTCAGAGACACTCTCCAAAAATATATCAATTTGTTTATGACTAAGCATGGCCCAAGTTCCTGGTGATAATAGTTATGTAATATGGATTCCACAAGGATGAATGGTGGCAAGAATAATTCCCGCTGTCTTTGTTCATTTCTTGCCTTGTACTGTATAGCATTTGTGCTCATTAACCAATTAGTCTTTACAAAGCCACAGTAAGGCGTGCAGAACTATTATCCCCCTGGTGCACATAGAGGAAATAAGGCACAAAGAGTTTTTCAGAGGCAGGATTAGAGACCAGGAGTTTCTAGCTAGTAGTCCCATGCTCAGTCCTTCAGGCAAAGCTACCTCTCACTAACTTGGCTGGTTCAAGAATGACTCTGTAGAGTTAAAACACAGAGCATGCTCCAGGACAGCCAGAAAACTGAAGTCACTTCTGAAAATACTGACATATGCTTTTGCCTAAGTTAGGGGTGAGAGTTTTTGTTCCTGTTTTTCCTGGGTGACTGAATATATCCTGGTTATTAAGGAAGTGTCTATAAATTGAAGCACTTGCATTAACCGTGTTGTTAAATTGTAAATAAACACAGATATTACTATGAGAGCCCATGCTTTATAAATGAGAAAAATGAATCTCTGTGTTTACATTGTTAATACTTTTGTTAGCATGTTTGGACTTAAGTCTTTAGTTAGATGTTTGCGTATTTGGAGAAAGTCCCAGAACGTCATCTTCCCGCAATTCAGGGAGTGTTGAAATACTGTCTTGTGGGTGCACAGCATGTTGCAACTGGACCCAGAAAAATTCAGGTATGATCCAACATAAGAACAGTGTCTATTAAAAGCACATGGAGCCTGATTCGCTAGCTGTAACATAAAAAAGAAATGTAAGGGTGGAGGCGGGGAGGAAATGAAACAGCCCTCTCTTTTGTGTAATGCAATGTAAGGAAAGGGTTAAACATTCTGGAGCAGCCGAGCTGATGTTCAAGCTATTGCAGGTGCACCCACTAAAAGGGTGTTAATTGGTTAGCAAATGAGAATATATAGGAAGCTCTGTGGGGGTGAGGGATTTTCTTGTATGTAAGGGTCAATGAAGGAATAGGATCAGTGTAGGGAGCAATAAGAGGAACTGAAAAAAACAGAAGTTTAGTTCTGTGCTGCTTTGTTGCATATGGTTTTTAGAAGGCTTTAAAGTTCAAGAAGTTGAGCTACAAATGGATTCTGGCTGACAAGAGGGGGATTATGTAAGCTTAGGAATCTATGATAGCTTTATTAATACTGGAAAACATCCAAAATAGTAGCAGGATTCTGCTACATTCTCAGGTTTCCTAGGCACTTGCAAAACCTTGCAGTTTACCCATCAGTCCATCATGCTTCTACGATGTCTTAACTATAGGTATCTGGGATCATCTTATTTCCTTCTAGGATTTTCTCTCAACTATGTCTTGTTTCTAATGTACGTTCAGATGGGAAGAAAATGTAAGTACATCCTGCTGCTTCATTTTCAGTAGTCTCTCAGTAATCTCTCAACACTTTCTGAAAGTGTACGTCAAGGTCAATTTATGGGAACTACAGACTAGGAGGGAAGCTTTGGGTTCAGTGGACACCTGATATCTAACAACAATTTAAGGATGTTTCAAATTACTTATGAGAGAGGATGGGAAAATATTACACTCTAGGCATGTATGATAGCAAGACAACTGAAAAGGGAAATTAAAAGTCTGTGTTCTTACTACACAGCAAATGCAGGCTGACTGTCTATAATACAATTTATGGGAGAAGTTTTGTTTTTTTTTTTCTTAATCTGCCTTTCCACCATCCAAATGATTATTTTCCTGTAAGAATATTTTTACCACTGAAATTTTCTTCTGCTCTTTTCATTACATCTTTAGAAACCACACCAAATTCTTCTGTCTCTCTAGAGTTTCCACCTTTCAGTTATTTCTCTTGTTCCTCAGTCCCCTCATGGCAGACAGACTCAGTTCTGTTTCTGAAAGTGTACGCTAAGTATCATATAAAGCAAAACCTTTTGTAGGATGGCACAGACTTACAGCCATTCTTTTTTGGCTTTTACTATTCTTAAGTTAATGAGGGATACTATGGATTTAAATTTTCATGAATGGGTCATCTTAAGCTAAACCACTTTTGAATATAAATGCAAATACTGGAGGTAGCAGAAGACTCTTCACTATTCAGCACAATGGTTTTAAGTTGAATTCCACTTGGAAATACCAGGTTACTAAAAAGCCCATTCTGTTTTCTACGGCAAGGGGGGCTGAAAGAGTCTTCAGCTTTACTGGTGTGAATTCATGGCACAACCATGAATATTAATATTGGCACTCTGTATCTGTCCTCGTGATTATTGTGGGGGAATGTCCATTTTTGTAAAAGGATGGCATGCTCTTTATTCTGTATGCAGCTTGCACGTACCATTTGAATTAAACTGTGAATGTTCTGGGTAGGAGAGAGGCATTTACAGATTATCAACTGTTTGCTCAGGAAAGGAAAAAGTAAACCCCAAGGGCAGCATGATAAATGGCAGAAACCTCATGCTTAATAAACCCATACAGAGGAGAGCTATTAAATTACCCAGCTTCAGTAGCTGCTAGAAGCCCCTTGGCAGGAAATCCTGTTGCGCAGATCTTTGTTTTCCTGTTACTTCCTTTTGCAGTGTTGTTTTTTTTCATCAGAAACAATCAATCTCATGAGCTCTGCGAAGGGCTTAAAGGACTTTCTTTTTTTGTGCTCCTTGACTTTTTGTTTTGTTCCCAAGGTCCTTTTTATAGATCCAAGGGCTGTTCAAGACAGTTTCTCCCAGACACTTCTAGTGCTCTTTTTGCTCACTCAGGGAAATCCGTAAGTATTCACATTCCAAGCTGAGTTTTCTGTGACTTACGGCATTAAGTGGTCTGTAAGGGGAGCGTGAAATGTGAAGGAGACTCTGAAAAAGAAAAGGATGATGAATCCTGGTAAATGTAGACAGGTAGGGCAAAGAGGCAGTGGTTTACCGGAGTTCAGATCAGAGAAGTCCTTAAAGGAAACTTGCTTTTTTTTCCTTTCCTAAAAGCACTTTGAGGTGTGCTGTTCTGATTGTTTCTCAGCTGTATTGGGGACAAAACACTTGTTTGAGCTGAAGCTGAGCTCTTATGGTGTAGCATAGTAGGAGATGTATGGATACACGTGCACAGAAGCAAAACACAATGTTCACCTGTCAGGAACCTATGATTCTCTCTCTCTCTCTCTCTCTCGCTTGAAAACGAGAACACTTCAGTTGATACCTAACTATATAGCATACCTCTAATAGAAAGACAGCCTCTACAGCATGCAGAAGTCTGTGACCTTAACTCTCCTTGCGTCCAGAGTACTAAAAAGCAAAAGACAGAATTTCTACAATACGGGAACAATTGTGTAGCCAATCAACAGTAATTACATGTTATGCGTGTGCTGCTTTTACAAATGAGAGCTTACTATCTCTTAGGTTGGGAGTAAGAAAATATAAGTTCATGTAAGTTTTATGTAGCTGGACAGTTTTTTTTTAAAAAATGAAAGCAGAGCTACAATCCTTAGTGTTGTGTAGTGGAAAATATTGAGCAGGAGGCAGGGGACTCATGGCTCAAGCTGTAGAAAGGTGCTCAGACCACCTGAAGGTGCAACTAAATGCAATGCTTTGCTTCTGCAAAGATCAAGCTCCCACTGTTTCAGGCTGCTGAAAGAAAGGATCTTGGAGCAGAAGAGTGACACTGCCTGAGGGATACTTTCTTGCATGTCAGGACTTCTAAATCCAGTTAGGCCTTTTTGGAAGGACCATGAAATTAGTCTAATCTCTCTAGCTTCCTATAAATGGTTCTCTATAGGCTCTTCTGTCATTAGCTTAGATGTATGCTTAATTAATAGCAAATCTAGTTAAAACTGTCCTGTTTCTTCCAAGAAGTACTGTTCAGTACAGTGGTACTTTGTCAAATTAATCAGATATGAGAGCAAAATTAACCCTAGTGATCAAAAGAATTTTGATACTTTGTTGTTCAACCTCCGTAAGAGTTATTTCTGGATTTCCCCAAGGATATCACGGAGTCATTCCTACCCGCAACTTCATAAATAAGGGCCTATTTAAATCACGGTTTCACGATTTTGGCGGAAACCACGAAAAATGGCAATCTTTGTGATCGCTGCAAAAAAAAGGCATTGGTTGCGGTTTCCCAGGAAATCAGCCCAAAAACCCAAAACAAACTTAATAAAAATAAAATGCTGGCTCCCCAATGGGAGGCAGAGGTTCTTGTTACCATGCCAAGACTTGCAGCCTGCCTGGGAAGGCGCCAGCAGGCAGGGCAGCACAAAGGGAAGCTGCCAAATGGCAACTGCCCCGTCATGCCTCTCTGTCAATCAGTGCCAAGGGGCAAGGCTGCACAAAGGACAGCCAGAAGTCAAAATGTTGGCTGTGCCCTCATTCCTCCTCCCCACCCCAGGCCTCTCTGCCAATCAGTACTGATAGGTGAGGCTGTCACAAAATGACTGCAAAATCGGCTCTTTGGGCTGTGACCAAGTCATGAAAATGGCTTTCTCTTGCTGCGAGTTAGGTAGGTCCCTATTCATAGGACACCCTGCTATTTACCTTGCAAAACCAGATACTGCACACTTTCAATTTTTTATAAGATACACAATGAACACCAGCACATACTATACCTAGGGGGGTCCTTTACATCCTTAGATGATCCAAGTGTGCCTCCATTGCTATTTAGTTCTTGCGCTCATCGCACAAGATAAATATAACACTACTCAAACAAAATGCAATTTATTTTTTTTTAATAAAACTTAAATAAGAGACAATATATTGCTCAATGTAATAATAGAACCTATATATTGCTAAAGGTATTAAAAAAGTTTTAATGATTCTCCTAGAATATTTCCTTAAACGTGTTCTTGTATTTCACCTTTGTACTTGCAGCAAGAGCTTTGAGAGTCCAATGCAGCGTTTCTCAACCCATGGGTTGCAAATATGGGTCACAAGAATATATGAAAGGGTTGCCAACAAACTCTTAAAATGGATTCTCCTTTAGAGGAGAAAAAGGTGGGGATCCATGGCTTTTCCATTGCAGGTTATCAGACTTCCAGCCTGCAAAGAGCTACTTGGGGCTGCCTATGCTCCACACACCCACTCCCTGTCCCACACACTGTGGGGAATGGGCCTGGGGTTGGGGCCAGTGTGTCAGGAGTGAGGGGCACTGGGTCAAGACTGGCCATCAATGTTTACAAATGGGTCCTGGTACAAAAAAGGTTGAAAACCACTGGTCTAATGCATCTATTTACGCCTCTTTTTTTCTCCATGCTTCCCAAATGGAACATAGGTCATGTTTGACAAAACCCGGAGAACTAGGAAATGCTGAAGTCCTTTTAACTGTAATGTATATAATTATACCTCTGTGATGATGACTACATCATAAAATGCATGAGATATGAATACTATTCATCAAGTTTAATTACATTTCCTGCAGTTTTACATTTTTGACCACTGTGCACATTAACAAATGAACTGTGTGCAAAAAAAAAAAACCCAACCCATATGATTGCATACAAAGCTTTTGATCTGTATTACAGTTCAGAAGTCTATAAGGAGGAAAGCTACTATTATCACAATACAGTTGGCTGAATAAAAGTTACAGTATTTAAAAAGAGATTAGGTATTAAAAGGCAAGATGGAAAAGAATTAATTTCCTGGCTATACTGTTCTGGTCTCTCAAATTAAGAGGAGTTGAAATACAGCTGATGGTGGAACAACTAATGCAATAATTTTTTTTTCTTCTATTTTTGCTTAAAAACAAGGAGCCTGTAGGACTTCTTATTTTAGTATCAATCTATTCAAAATTGTACCCACTTACAGACTATTCTTGAGGCTGTATATTCTTATTCAATATTTCTCCAGGCAAGAAGAGACTTTAATATTTAACATTAAGAAGTATATTGCTCTGTTATGCCTGGGAGTTTGCATGCCAGATGAACCCTAAAGTTTAACTATAATATGTAACTTCTGTGTTTTTACAATTTTTTTTTTCCCAACCTTTGACAGATTTACTAGTCCTTCCTGAAGAAATGTACCTATTCCTTATTGCTGAACTAAAATTATTAGTAAGCTCTTGCTTGTAAGCATTTCCAAATGTCTGTAAGAACTATATTATACATGTCTCTATCTGTTGTCAGCAAGACTTCAGAACTGAATGACCAAGCTAGTATATCCCTGGCAAGTCCACTGCACTCTATCCTTCATAGCTGTATGAAAAATAAGCTTTTTTTTTTTTTTTTTTTTTTTCCTGTAGGAGTATTTATAATGCATGTCAACACTTCAAACTAGGATCATAAATGAAAAAAATGAATAATATTCAAAGCTAAAAGTTTATTGCCAATAAGGAGGTGTATTTTGATGCAATAATGGATCATCCCAAACCAATGTGAATACAGGATTAATTTGCATGATTTTTTTTATCTTATTTTACAGACTGTCTTCAAGCTACATCCCAATATCGTCATTTGCTCCAAATAACTGTATGTACCAAGCAAACCCTCTGTAGGGTATCAGGCAGTGTTGTCTATACAATTATTCATAAGACAGATTTTTGCTTAAAACCTTGTTGTCAAGTGGAATCTAAAAGACTTTTAATTTTATGCATCACTATTCAGGTGCACTCTGTCTGCCAATTGTCTACCACTGGGGAAAAAAAAAAAGTAAATTCAACTGCACAGTTGACTCTTGCTTTTCACTAGTAATACAGTCATTCAGCTATCATAGCTAAAGAGTCTCAAATTGATGGCAAATAGGTTCTCACTCAAAAATCCCAAAACAGAAGTGTCACATTTAAAAAACCATGAACAGTATGAAGTGACAAGATAGCCAAGTGTCACCAGGGACCATTCTGGTCCTGAAGGTACCTCCTAAGTACACAAAATAGCAGTTAAAAAAAATCCTGTAGAACAAACCTATTGTGCAATACAATATGCTGGGTTTGTCCTGACATTCTCTTGATGTCAATGAGATACAATAAAAGAGAGAGTGCCGTGGAAGACTAGCAGTGATAACATTCAAGTGGCAATGTACTTTACAGAAAATGTAGTTGATTACAAGTAGAGCTATGGCCTCTGAAAACCTTTCACAAATCTAGCAACACACAGAGGACTTGACCCACATGCATAATGTTCTTGCAGTCCTGTCCAAATTCAAGCAGATGCTATGTGTAAGGTTAAGTGCTAGAGACATAGTTTTACATTGAGCATTAATAAGTTTTTACACCTCTACAGAACAGCCTCCTTACTTGCAAATATGCCCAAAAAAGGGATGGGAGTCGAGAATGTGATGGGCAGATTTTGAGATGTCTGCTGATAATTAAAAACACATAGTGACATGCTTTCTGCTTTGACCTTACTCTTGTTAGGTAACCAGGATTCCCTCAGTTACATAGCAGCATCTTATTAATACGGGATTAAGAGTCTCCCACATCATTCATTAATTTTTATTATGTGTGTTCATGTGCAATCCTTTATGTACATTTGTGGGACCAATCCCCAAATTTCCATTGCTATATATCTGATATTGTACTGATAGTAGCTGTTTAAAAGGAGGACCCAAAAATAACTTGGAATGGAAACATCTCCTTAAGACTGCTATAGTCTTAAAATTAACGAATATGCAGGAAAAAAATACCATGAAATCTCATCTTGTAGAGGGAGGAAAGTACCCGAGTCCTGCTATTAGCATATTTGATACTAATGCCTGAAACCACTCTCCTGTCATAGTAGCATTTTTGTTGTATGGCTTGTCATATAAGCTGTATCACATGGATTACTAAACTCAGTTCCCCACTCTAAATTAGATACAGATCATCTTACCTGGCGTCTTCTTCTGAACTTCTGAAATGCTTCCTGTATGCTCTGGATCTCTGTTCCTTTTTTATTTTTCTCTTGATCTAAATCTTCAAGATACACTGTGAAACTGCAGTATTTCTTCATTGTTGCTTCCACACTTCTTTCTAGGCAACTATTTTGGACCTGCAGTTATGAAAAAGTTAGCTACATAAATGAGTTGCAACTTAAAAGCCATTTGGGAAGGCAAATGATATCTTTGTAAAACCAAATTACATTAATAAAATCCTGCTTGTAAAAGACCTTTTGGTACTTATAGTATAATTAAAAGAAATAGTGGAACAAAGCTACCCAGATGTTCCATAAAAAGTGGTCTAGAAATATTCTTATAGGCTCTAAAGTAGAATCACCCACTTGAAAGAGCTTGTTGGTTGAAATCTATCTGGCAGGCACTCCACAGGTGAGCAGCTCCTCTCTACAGAAACAGTCAAGGTGAATTGATAAACATGCACATTTTAATTCAAATTTCTAGTATAGCACATTAATGCCTTTGTCTTGATGGAGAAGTACTTGCCTTAGGAAGTTTTTTGTGATTCCTCTATCTTATGCAATAGATATAAAGTAATCTCCCACCTACTTCTCAATTGTTGCAGTTTACACAGGAAATTCAAAATACAACTGCCTAATTTTGTATAATCTTGCCAGTAAGAATCAAACCATTTCTAGCAAATACAATATGTAATTTAGTTTGCCCAAGGGTGTTTCTGTATAAGCAAGGTATATGTGCGTTTCCCTGGTTGTCGTACAGAAACTTTGCTACCATTATAGTGGACTACAAAATTATAGCAACCAGAGACAGATTCTCTCGACAAGACACAAAGATTACAACCACTAGTATTTGTACTTCGGTTATGTAGGTCAATTCTACTCCAGTGTGATAACTTTCTGCATGGGTGCCCAACTACATGTCATGAAAGTAATCTTGTAGGAAGGTAACAGGATAAGCAAATTCATTTGCAAAACACAAAGTATCATTTGCTATCTGGCATGTACTGTTTGATGTATCCTACTGCAGACTCTTAAAATAACTCTGTAAGAATTGCTATTAAACACTGAGGCCCTGATTTTTTCCACCCCCCACCCTGCCATGTATCAGTGTAATCCTCTGGAGTTAGTGGAACTACAACAGTGGAAAATGGATGCGAGAGAGGGAGAACAGAACAGAGTCAAGCCTGAAGCTTATCTTTTAGCTCTGTTTGATCTAAAATAGGCATCCTTACATGGTCAATGAGAAATAATAAGTTTAAGAGAATGGCTTTGAATATCTGATTATTTGTTTGCCTGCTAATCCATTCACTTAATTGACACAATCTAGAAAGTAAAAATACCAGAGATTGAGACTCATCTTGGCTGATTTGGTAGTGTGAGGGTGTTTATAAGGGTTGACACTTTTTCAGGTCCTATAAGTTGCATGGTACAGCTGCATCTTTTTGTCAAGCATTGCACTGCCAGCACAGGATGGCAGGAGCCTGGGGAGGGGGATTCGATCAGCAGTTTGTCAACTGGAACATTGCTGCACCCCCTTCAAATTACCTACCAGGAGAATATATAATGCCAGCATGACTAGAAGTTGTGCATCTCTCATAATCTGATTTAATATCCCAAATCTTTTGCCTTAGAAGTGGTGAGACTCACTGGAGCTCTGCCATTGGTCAAGATAATGAATAAGGCATGGACTATGCTCAGATACCTCTAGCTTTCTACAATAACCCTCAGTCTCATTGCCATCCTCCAAAAATACATCAAATAAATCTTCAGGATCACAGCCTCTCTTCAGTCATAAAGCAAGCTGGATTTTTTTTTCTTGCCTTGGATAAAAGGAATCAGGTTGTGTGTCAGTTTGTCTTTAGCAGCATTACAGCATGCCTTCATATATACTTTTCTGTAAAGGTAATTGCAGCATTCTGTAACATTTGGACTGAAAAGTTATTGCATGCACAACCATATGTGAGCAAGGCACAATTAGGTCTCCCTATGGGCATGGTGGTGTTTTGCCAGCCCCTCATATAAGCCTGTGTATAACTGTCCCTTCTTTATGTTGGAGACCTTCCTCTCAGCACTCCTGGTACTGCTTGGCTATACCCAAGACCTGCTTTGCTATGCCTTTCACTTTCAGAGGCAATGTGAGTAACGGCCTCAGCTAACAGCTTGGTGCACCAAATCAGGAAGTCATAAATGACAGGAAACTGTATTGTGCAGAAAGAGATGAATAAGAGGCCAGAACTGAACATCTATTTAAATACTAGAGAAGTGACTAGACTGACATTAATCTTTCATGCCCACAAGTGGCAGAAAAAGCCCTTTCCATGCTAGCAACACAAACTCTCCCCCTGTGGGCTCCTAGTGATAAAATACCATGGATAAATTTCAGATAATATGGTCCAGAAAAGCCATAGCTCCCTTTCTGGTGGCCTGATAAACATCTTTATTATTGTGGGTCTTATCTCCCAGCTGCTACTTCCTTTCATTTAAAGGCAATTTACAATTCTCCCTTATGTCTACTCCAGAACATGTAACATTCTTGGACAACTCTCCTGTCAAGCATACTTCTATCGGATGTTCTTTTATCTGTTCTAATGATCCCCCCCACACCATCTCAGCGAGCTGCCTGGACATATTTCATACGGAGAACTAAACAAGCAGGAGCAGGGGAAACACTTCAATACTGCTACATAATCCTTTAAAAAAAATCAGCATTGGCTCTATCGCAAAAACAGCTTCTATAAATCATGCACCCATATTTAGTTAATTGTCTCAGCATGTCTATTAGCTTGTATAGTGCACACACAGGATGAGACCTTCTACCATCCTCACTTGGAAAGATTACTGCAGAAATCTGGCTGGACTGCATGCCTCATTTATCTGCTCAAAGCCAGCTATCTCTTCCATGCTGAGAAATGTGTGTCCATGGACAGAAACCTAGTTTGGAAGGACCGTCCTCTGATTTTTCAAGTGGTGCAGTAGTAATGACTTTGGGAATTCTAGCAGCCAAGATGGGTAGTTAGTGTATTCATTTACATTGCCAACATTTGGGATTCTTTTCCAGCAATTCTATTTCACAGCAGTGCTGGACTCTGAATTATGCAAACAGAACAATTTAAAGAACTGGCTATGGTTGTCAGTGCATAGAATTTCCTTCTACCTTGTAAATTATTGAAATGTTTTGCTGATTCCTGATTCAAAAAGCACCCAATTTTCCATCTACAAACTTGAAAGTAGCATATCTTGCTCAGCACGGGCACATGTTACATAGAAATGACACTGAGAGTTTTACAAAGCCGCCAGTTATTGAAAAATGCAATAAGTTTGGGTATTGTAAAAACTAAACTATTCAACGGATTTGAAGGACTGGCTCTTGCATACGCTGGATCTGGAACTGTGATGTGACTGGACTCTTTTTTCATTATATATATTCAAGCAAGAGCTTCATTTGTGAAATTTTGATGGGAGGGGATGGTAAAGTCACAAAGAGCTTATGAAGCTTCGGAACAAGCTCAAAGTGATATATTCACCGAACGTTAGTGCAAACCACGGTAAACAATGCAAAGCAGGAGAGGAAATATATATTTTAGCACCTATGTCCGCTGTGAGTTTATAGTGATGGACAGAATAGAAAGTGGAGAGGCTGCTGTCTTGGTTAAAGGGGGAAAAATGTATGACACCAACAAGACAATCCCTCGAAGTTAAAATTCAGGGTCATTACAGTACGCCCTCTCCTCAATATTTTAGAGAACCTCAGAGTCCATTTCTAGAGATACAGACAGTTTGAAGAGGTATGTGCTTTAACTACAAGTAATGCCTCAGGATATTCTACAACAGAAGTTAGCAAAGAAATTCTTGCTATTTTTCAGTGTTTACTTTGTGCATCTGTTTATGAGAAGCTGTGACATATTTATCACTAAGTGTCAAACAGAAGTAAAGAGCTGACAGCAGAAATTCAAGGAACATCTTTTTTATTTCTTTTCTTTCCTTCCTTATGTCTCTTGGGCAAGCTAGTCTGACTGGTACCACAGGTTTGTACAGTGTGGGTGAAACACGAGGAGTGCTCTCTGGAGGTTCCCCAGCATCTTTTTGTGCTAAGCGTCTTCTTCCTTGTTCTCAGGGAGTGCACTTAGAAGGAGTCTTCCTGCAAGATTTTTGCTTTAGCTTTTGGGCACTGCAGCTTCGATACCAGGCTGCTTTCCAAAGCTACTAATCTAGAAACTTCAAAAGGTGTATATTTTTAAAATGTAAACCAGCAGCTTACTGTTCAAATTTTCTTAGGCTTTCCAGTTATCTTCCTATTTGCCCAGCCAGGAAAATATTACTGGAAATCCATGCATATTTGGAAATGCTTTTTGTAAAGCAAGTTTCACTATTCTTACTTATTATCAATTATTTCTCCCTTTATTAGAAAGGCCCATATAAACATCCAGAGGAAAGCAATGTTCCAAGGATTTTCTTTTAAATATATGTACTCTGGACTTGCAAGTTTAAAGAATGGTTTGTCAAACTGGGATTTTGTTAATTACCCCATGGACAATGCCTCTCTAGTCTCCCATAACCTAGATTTTGGGCTGTCTCCTGGACCAGTTAGTCTCCTTTGACAACTTTTTGTTCCCTTGCTGTGATATTGCCCATCTGCAGGTAACTGCTGTTTTTGTGCTCCTGATAAATGAACATGGTGTCACCATGCCCTTTGCAGTTGTCAGATGAGGGAGGAAAGGTAGGCCCAGAAAGTATAACAGCCTTTGCTCACTCGCTGGAACAAAATGAAATGCTGTCTACGGTATTGTGCACCTAATAGGATCGCCCCTCTCCTTGCTGGTTTCCTGCGCGGCGCGATGGTTTGGTGATGACAGGTATCACGTTTAAGACGTTGGCATCAGTCTGAGGGTCATGCTATACGTTACATTACAAATATCGATTGGCTGAGTGTGAGCTCGCAGTCACACCTCCAACTTGGGCGGCACATCTGCGGGGAGGGATCCCACCTCAATGCAACAGGAGCTGGGTAATGCAGATCAAGAGAGAATCCTGCCCTGGAGTGGCGTAACTTTGAGCCACATAGCACGTGCTTTAAGCCACTTAAGGCAGGCAAGGTTTTTTTTGAGTAGGCAAGGGTTTTTTTTTTAGGCAGGCAAGGTTTTTTTCTCACACCACTGAACTTGGGCGGCACATCTGCGGGGAGGGATCCCACCTCAATGCAACAGGAGCTGGGTAATGTGGATCAAGAGAGAATCCTGCCCTGGAGTGGTGTAACTTTGAGCCACATAGCACGTGCTTTAAGCCACTTAAGGCAGGCAAGTTTTTTTTTGAGTAGGCAAGGTTTTTTTCTTACACCACTGAAACGTGCTAGCATGCAGGGGTGAAGAGCAGCGTGCAGGGGTTAATGTAACAACCCCGGGGTTATGAGCTTCAGCAAAATTAATGCGTATCATGGCCCAGAGAGAGCCCATCTGCGACACCGCGCCTGCGTAGGCTTCACTCCCTACTTCTAGGTCTCGTAGTGGTTTGAACGATGATTTTCCGAGCGAGCGTAGCCCGGCGGGTGCACAGAGAAGGTGCTGCCATTGCCCCTCCCGCGCCAGAGTCCCGTTGCATGTGCGATGCCTTGTATTTTCGCACAAGACGCATCGCCGGAGCCCAGCTGGGCGAGGGCAGCGCTCCCTTCTGCCCTGCCCCTGCACTGGGAACTGGGGACCCTCGTCATGCTGATGCAACTGCCCCCTCGCCCCTTTCAAAGCCCCTCCCTGCCCATACACCCATGTTGCAATGGACAGGATGTGGGGGAGAGACCCAGCTCCATCCCCCCCCCCCTCCCAATATCCTCCATCCTCCCATTTTTATCCATCCTCCAGCCATCAGCTCACCTGCTTCCCCCCTCCTCCTGGAACTGGGGACCCTCGTCATGCTGATGCAACTGCCCCCTCGCCCCTTTCAAAGCCCCTCCCTGCCCATACACCCATGTTGCAATGGACAGGATGTGGGGGAGAGACCCAGCTCCATCCCCCCCCCCCTCCCAATATCCTCCATCCTCCCATTTTTATCCATCCTCCAGCCATCAGCTCACCTGCTTCCCCCCTCCTCCTCCTCCTGGGGCGTCTGCGTCTCCTAGCAACGCTCAAAATGGCCGCCCGCCGCGCACAGCCTCCTGGGACGCGTCG